TCTCTCAAAATTCGCTTTCGCTCGCAACTGTCTGAATAATATCAGCCGCGTGTCGCGTGCGCTGAACGCTGCGACAGTCGTTCATTCTTTATTGCAACCGGTATTTTTACATTGTCGCATGTCGTCAGCGGTGACGTAGAGAAGAAAATATCGCAGTTCCCGCGCGCGCACGTGTCGATTATATGCACGCGTGAATAGGCACACGATCTGTCCCTACAAAGACCGCTAGCCGCAGTGCTGGTGAAGCCTCTTGCTGGAGATTCGTGTACTTCGCCGTCGGCAGTCAGTGACGTCGAGCGCCGGGAAAGATATCCGGCTGCTGTGGTTCTATTCATGTCGGCACGTATTTCGACAGGGCTGATTTTTCACCGCTCGTTGTACTGTATCTTCGCCTCCTCCCTCGTTTTCCCGTCGCTTCCGTTTCCTCGCTGATTCCTCCTCCGCGGCGAACGCGCTCTCATTAATCTAAATCGACGCAGGCGGCCGAATGAAATCGTCGCGGGTTCCTTTGCGAGTTCTTTGCAGGGCGCCGTTAAAAGGCCCATCTTCGGACCGAGTAATGTCGCGTTAAACTCGCCGTAGTGTCGAAATGCCGCGAGGGTCGTGCCTTTGCTACTTTGACAGGGGCTTCTCGCGCGCATCTCGAGGACGCGAAAGTAATTCCGCGCGAGGAAATTTTCAGGAAACGGCGCAAGCTTCCACAACGACTGTCCGTTGTGCATTACGTATTCGGAAGTTCGCGTCTTTACGGGTACTCGAGCCGCTGTTCACTTTTAGACACTCGCTCGTGTGCCCAACATCTAGAATGACACTTTTAAGTAAACAGCGGCGACAAACTTTCTCGCAAAATAGCATCTCTCGGAAAGTCGTATCTCTCTTCTGCCGTCTCGTTTTTTTCTGTTCTCATTCTTTAATATTTTACATGCCGTGCCGGTCTGTAAATCATCAAAATTACTGCATTTTGTAGCGAACTTACTTTTGCAGAATTTCCCCCTCCGCTCTCGCCACGCACTTCGACATTTGTGTAACTGTGCTTGTATAACATAATTATGAGTCTATTTTGCTGCATGTAATAACGAAAACTGAAACGTTCGTGAGAGTGTACATTGAAAATACACGAGGGACTCGACGGTTAACGGCTTCACGCATTGCGATAAAAATCATTTCAACTAATATGCATCTAATGTGCAAATTTACATCGAAAATCTCGTTAACACGCTCCGCTAGTTTCGGAAATTGCAACGACGGAACATCGAGACTCGCCCGGCGCATTCCCCGCACTTTTCCTCGCGTTAAGGTTGATTTTCAGGAATTTATTAACGGCCACGAAATAATCCTGTTTATAGGATTCGAGTACTTTGCGCGCTCCGCTTGTTTTCATCGTTGCCTGTTTCTCGTCGTTAACAACTCGGCCAGCGCAGCAGTTTAATTCAAGCGATAAAACAGCTTAATGCTCACGGGGGAGTAAACTGTAACGAAGCTTTATCGGGAGTAACGAAAATATGTGGGAAAGTTGCGGAGCTATCGTTCGAAACGTGAGATTTATGCTCGTTACATGCTTCCGCGAGGAGATATTTGCAGCCCGCGAAGGTATGCAAATGGCGAACGATGCAGACTTCACGCAAATGTACGTAAAATAGTTGGAATAGCGCGGAAGTAGGATAAGATGCGGTATAAACTCGCGAAGACGCGTATAACAACGAGTGAAATAGCGCATCCGGCATTTTGCGCGCGGTTCATGTATCTTCCGATGTACGAAATATTCGTACATTCAACATGAGCAGCACTTTTTCAAGAGACTACAACGACTTGAAAATATTCTCCGTCGTTGCACCATCGTTTTTAGTCCCGCCGAATTAATAATTTCCCCTCATCTTCAGCTCGATAAGATCCGTCATGTAATCACACGCCCTTCCGCAAAGATATCGTTTATCTTGCCAACCCACTCGGAGATCGAACGCCACGGTAATGTATTCGTCAGTGGATATTCCGCGCGGCCCTGACTTTTTCATCCTCGAGGTACCCATTAATACGAGTTGTACTACACCCACAGAGTTGCGGCGCACGTGTCCGTCTCTAGTTCTCCCCAAGTTCCTCTCTGGTTTTACGCGCGCCTCATTAATTACCGCCATCGTCTTCCAGCACTCGGCTAAATGGCCGTTGCGCGATTCGACCAAGTTGCTTATTGCCGCTCCGTCGTCGCTCATTCAAGAAGTTCAAGACGAGTCTGTATTACTTCCGTGCGAGGGATCGCTAAAAGGTATATCGCACAGCTGTCCGTCCTCTGGCGAGTGCTATCGATTTTTTCGATTCATTAATATCTTCGCGCCCGCGCGTGCTCGAAGGAGGGGCGCTGCTGCCGTTGCCTTTTGAAGCGAAAATTCGTCGATAATGCATCGGCCGCTATTTTTGCATATCGGCCTACGCGACGGTATTTCGCGATCGCGAGCTCGCGGATCGTTACCGTCAAAGCGGCTAATTGAACGGGGCTTGAATTTATTTTGTCCGCTCCCTTGGCGGCCGTCCGATAAATCGTTCACCAGATTCGACCGCCAGGGACACGACGATAAATTACTTTTTGCCGCATAATTGATCGCAATCCTAATAATTCGACCTGTTTACACAGGTGCGCGTAGTCAAATGCGGCGCGCACTCTACGTTGGGCGTTACAAAGGTGATTAATCAATGCCGCGCGAGATCTATATATATATACCCGTAGTGTATAAACTAGAATTTAACGCGTCGGATCGATACGTAACACATTTGACTAATCAGATTAACGATCGTATCGATTTCCTTCTTGTGATCCGAGTGCGCGTCGCATCGCCACGCAACGCAACCGAAAATCCATTAGTCCGGTGAATGTAAGTAGCCGTGCGTAATTATACATACACGCGTCTGTATAATCCGCGGCCGCTATTGTCCCAATCCAAGCCGCCGATCCCTATCAGCGATTTGAATTTCTATGTCGAAATATTTCATCCGGCGGTCGTGATAGAACGTGAATATTTCGGCCGTTCTTGCACGCCGTTGAAAAGGAAGAGGCAGGAATTTATTATTTCAGGGTGAGCTGCGGGTCGGAAGAAAAAGGCCCGTTGACGTGGGAAATCTAAATTTATAACAATTTACGGACAAAGCTCGAGCGAGTAACCGTCTTACAGCCAGCCTCTCCACTTAAGCGGCTGCTACCGGTTGTTAGCGGTCGAGCGGCGAAAATCCAGGAGAATCTACACGGTATTATGATTCCCGGCGTTCCCGGCTACCAGTCGCCGTCGGAAGGCCGACGACTATAAACGATAGTAACTTTCTGACTTTGTTTGCAAGTTGCACCAACGAATTCCCGTGTTCTCCGGACCACGAGGGGACGCGTTTTCAACACGACGACGAGCGGTCCGAAACCAGCCAAGTTAATCGCGTAAAAATCGCCTCGAAACTTGAACTTTAACTCCGCACAAACAGAATACAATATTACCGGACTGCATAATGTTCCCTTGTTGAACCGAAGAATCCCGAGGCTCGGACGCGAACGTCGCGCGACGAGCTACGTGATTATCGGCCGACGGAATTCGTGATATACGATTGATGCGGCGAGATGATGAATTTTGCAGAGGACTTTAGACCCCCGAGGCCCCGGCTGGCTGCTCAAACTTGGAATATTAATGCTTTCGGGGGGGAGGTAAGAAGAAGAGAGGAGGTGGTCGAGCGGGGCGGGAGTTTTTCGCGCTCGTACGCGAAACGCTTCACGAACGCGCATGCATACATACAACACGCACACGGGGTGTGTATTTGTCGCGACCTCACGATACCTCTCGGCCTGTCCTCAATGGGCGCACGTGCACCGAATTCGCCCGGAGGGCCGACGGCCATTATTCTCCCTGTGGACAGAGTCCTGTTGCATTTCGTATTCGGCGGCGGAGGCGGCGACGACGACGTCACATAGCTCCGGAAACCGAACTTGCTGCCGCAGCAGCACGTGCTCGAATACAATTTGGCCCAGGTCAGGGAGGGACATGCACTCTCACGCGCACTCGGGTTTGTCGGAGGATTAAAGTAGTTTACTTGCTGTCGTTTAACCGCGATAGGTCGTACGCTTCATCGCGAAGTAGACCGAGCCAGCGAGCGACTCCGCGCAACCGCTTCGGAGTTCACACTCGCCATCGTCGGCGCGAGTCGAGAGCTCGCCAACTTTATAATCGTCGACGTGCATTAATTCGTCCGTCCGTCCGGTGCGTTTAGGTTATCGAGGGATAATCGACTGTGGAGATTTAGGAAAGACACATTGTGGTTCATTTGCCTATTTCTTTCGAGGGCGGGCATTATGCAGAAGAGTACTAAAATTTTATTTTGACATTTCATTATTGAAGAAACACCGAATCTCTCCTACGGAGTCTCGGTGTTATCTTTCTCTCATGTGCGTTGTGACGATTATGAAGCAGCTGATGACTTGCTAACTAATTCGACTTGCTAACTAAAATCTAGCGTTACGAACTATAGTGTGTATCCCTCACTTGTGCACATGGTTTGATGTACGCGTTGTGAATAGAATTTCAATCCAGCTTAGATTACGCTCTCAGCGAGACGAACAGCTGTACAGTTAGCTGGTCGTTACACGATCTTATTACAAACTCTGTTCGTTGACGCGGACGAGAAGCGCTTTTTATTTTCAGTGGTGTGTTAAAAGTTACGTTACTAAAAAAATCACTTCTCGACGCGACACGCTGAGCTTTCGGTGTAAAAACCGGAGAGAGAAGGAAAAGTAAACACATTGTTTCGAAGGCTGTTTATTTCGGATAACGGGAATAATCAAATTGTCTTCCCGTTATTTCCGAGGAAAAAAGGTGTTGTTGACGATGCGGACGCTCTCCTTTCACCCCCCCTCGTATCTCTTCGCAAATATGCTTTGACAAGGGTCGCGATTATTTGTGGCACACATATATACACCCTCCGGAATAACGCACGGTTCGTGACTGACATTCGATTTTTCTCGTTCTTTGTCGCAGAGAGCCTTTGCGGGCGCCACGAGAAACGCTTATTGAATCACCTGCTGTTAAATTACAACACCTTGGAGCGACCGGTCGCGAATGAGAGCGAGCCGCTGGAGGTGAAGTTTGGCATCACTCTGCAGCAAATCATCGACGTGGTAAGTCATGGAATCTCTTGGTTTACTTTCGTATAAAATAGTTTAGAGACATTTCGACATGACATTCTCCACTAATAATTCTCGGCAGAATTTTCGATCAATCAGTGACATCAATTCAGACATTTTTTTTTATTTCATACAAAAAATTTCCCGAATGTTTTGAATGAATTGTTCCTAGAATCCAGACTGGGACTGATTTTTGTCGTTACGTTTCTTCGATATTGTTATTTGGCACTACACTTTATACTCAAAAATTGTGTTTGAATAGTTCAATCCATTTTCGTACATTTTTATACAAATTTTTAAGAACTTTTAATAATCATATGTCCGAAAATATATAATTACATCAGAGCTTGACATAAAGTCTAGAGATCTGCCTCAATCTAATGAGCTTATTTTTACAGCCGTGAATGAAATTCGCTTTCAAGTGTCTATATTTTGTAATCTTCACTGTTTTACACAATCAAGATGCCTATTTTAACTAATGAAAGATTAAAGTATCAAGTGAGCAGTTAAACTGGAATTGTTATTTTTGCGTTAGCATGTCGAGATATCTCTAAATTACCCTATAATAATGCCATTGTTCTCTGTACGTACAAGTGGTTCTCTCATGAAACATATCTCACTTATAATATCATAAACTTAAAGGAGATTATGTTACATACATATGTTTGAATATTAAATTGTTCCAGTTATCATTTTTTATTGAAGAGCAATAACAATTAAAACAAAAAGAAACAGTGACAGAAATAAAGTTAATGCGGCGCAAATAAATCGTTAGTCGGTACCAGTATGAATAAGCAAATATATACGCAGAACACCTTTCCTTAATCCGATCGTTACGTTAGCAACTCGAGCATGTAACGCATACGGTAACAAGACACACCCAATAGCGCAAGATTATATATGCAACAGTTGATAGCGACCCAACAACTTCCGGGGGTCGGCTGTCTGAGGCAAGACGGGCGCGATCGCGGATACGTTGCAAATCTTGAAGGGCGAGTATCCATTATGAGGCGGAGTATTCCGCCGCCTCTGCGTGAACCCCCGAGATAAGAAGCCCCGAGATTAGCGGCACAAGTTTTTGCACGTCAAAATATCGGGCTTATCTAAATGAGAGTGCGCGGTTAGCGGGGGGACGAATGGGCCAAGATTGCATTTACGTTCTCCATCTTCGTTCCCTCTTACCGCGGCTATTTACTCCCACCGTCATTATATACAGCGGCACTATCCGCGTATAAGTCTTATGTACGCGCGATACACAGCGCGGCGCGTTACGGCTCCCAAGGAAAGACCTGAAAATGCGTCGGCGAAACAAAAGGAATCTAATACGCGCGGCCGTAGATTCTGTAGTCAGAGAAATTCTCGCTTCGCAAGATGTTCCGGAGGGAAAAAAGCAGCTCGCTGAATTTTTCCGCGAATTATATCGCGGCTCCCGCGAAGAGAGAGGAGCGAGATTGCGATTCGATTTCGCTCTGGGGCAGCGAAATTTATGCGGGCGTCTTTATCGCGCAGACGGATCCCCATTATCAAATCGCATAACGCGTCACGATTTTGACTAAAAGTTACTCGAGTGACTTTTGGAGACTTTTCTTGCAGAAAAACGAGCAGACGCGCGAGGAACGCGCATCAAAGCTGTGTCACTACTGGCTGAGAAAGACGGTATTTTCCGCGTGCAACGAATGAGCGAGCGTCTCCAAATCTTCTTTCTCTCTCTCTCTCTCTCTTTCTTTCTCTATCTATCCGTCCGTAGCAATCACCGTGTATGTTAAATTTTCATCGATAGCAACGTCGCATGTTCCCTTTTCGTATTCCGACGTTTCCTGATGCATACATATGATAGTGAGCGAGCGGGCTCGGAATTGCAGACGTATCCGATGATTCCCGTGGACCAGTTAGAGAATAGTCGATGGCGCGCTCTAGTCACGAGACTTCGCGTAAATAAAAATTCCGGCTGATCAATATTTGACGATGGTAACAAATGGACCGAATGCAAGTGCTCGTTAAGGATTTATGACGCGGGAAACTGTTCTCCCCGCTCGTGAATCACAATTATAAATTAGACGAAAGAGGCGCTCGCTCGCTCGATCCACTTCGGTTTCCTCCGGAGCGGCAGTGTTATATAACCTAGATTAAAGAAACCGATCGGAGGTGTTTCCTCTCATAACATTCTTACGGGCAGCGCTAACTGCTGAGGGAATATGTCCGTTACGACGAATCCCTTTACACTAACGGCTGTCTAGTACTTTATTTTCCACACGCGATGAAACCCGTGAGATTCTGTCTTCGCGCATTTCTCAGACATCTCTCAGACATTTCTCAGACGCTTCGCTTTATTGGCACGAGATTTATTCGAATATTTCCGTCCTATTCGAGTTTCCTCAGGCTCTACAGAGATACGCGGAGTATTAAGATCGTTTGATCGCACAAGTAACTATTGCAAGTATCGCCAGCATTCTTTATTCACAAAGGAGACGCGGACTGTTTGGACAATGCGATAATTTATCTTTGTTTTGTTCGGTTTCTCTTCAGGCTCATTATTGTCGTTATCTTAATTGTTACAATTATCGTTATTTCGCGTCGTGGCTTTCCCTTTAGAAGTTTATACAATCTGATACATATATTTCCAGTAAAAACAAAAGACCACTGTGTGTTCCGGACATTAAGAGCGCGGACGTTTCCGGAACGGATCTTTCACTCTCACACACATACACACACTCTATCTCTCTCTCGCTCTTTCTCTTCCTCCCGGTAGCAAAACATATTCCATTACACCCTCCGCTCACCCTTACATCCCTGCTACCGTTTCGCTAAGTCGCATCGCTCAAGCTGACTGGTGTTTTTGCTGTTGCCCTTTTCAAAGTATCGTTGCCTTTGGAAACGGCGGATATCTCTGTAGTTTTCCCATCCGACGCGAAGCTCTGGAGCAAGAAACTTGGCAGCCTTAATGAATTAATTCATAAATCTCTCGCGGCGAGAAAATTCTAGTTCGACTTAAATTACTTCCGGTGTCGAATGAAATTCTCTAACCTCTCGCTTCTGCATATATTTTTGAAATGATTGCGCGATTGTATATATTCGCCCTTTTCGTAATGCTTCACAAGCAGAAAATGCGCTTGACATAAATATTTTTTAAACATTTATTTTCCAAATATGTGCTGATTAAATTATTTCTGAAATTCCCGTGCGGTGTTACAGAAGTATATTTTATTAGTATTATCGCGAGAATTGCAGAATTAATTAAATTAATGGGATACGTACGTGAAATATTAAAAAAAAAAATATATATATATAAGGATAAAAGAGGAATATTACAACGTGTGCACGAGGGATCAAACTTTCGGTTACTTTGTGTAATCTTATCTTTTCGGATTATTTTATGAACCGTAATCTGCTTGAAGCGAATAGCAGCGAGTAAGTCGTACACCGTTCGTAAGAAAATCGTATTAATATTCCAGTTTAATTAAGCGACGTATCAAGACGCGGTAGAAAACGAATTTGCGCAACATAGTACAACGTGTAATTAGTTTCAATTTAAAAGTGACCGCCGTATAGTTTAATCTTAGCTGGAGCTCCCGTGTCGTAAACAGTGATGTGTTATCGCGTCGGTTCTCATAAATAGCGGAGTATCGGTCGAAAAAGAGTTTTTCGTTGATGCATTCGGCCTGAAATTTCAACTCCCTCATTCGATCACGAGGTTCGGAGTACGCGGGATCCCACGTAAAAGCGAAGTCCCTTTAATTGGTCACGTAAAGAGGCGAAAAAGTTCATAATGGGGCGGGCAACTTGATTCCGACGTCGGGGAAAATGGAGAACGTGATAGCAGAACGAGATCAACGGAACTTCCCGTTCGCGAAGCGGCGAATTAACCGCATTTTCGGCCGGGCCAAAGAGACTCGCTTGACTCGCCATTACTATTTACGCGAGGAATAATGGATTCTCGACCCTCCCGTCGTCTCCGTTGCGAGACGACGTTCCGGATCTCCGGCGTGTACGACTCGCGTTGACGATGAAATTTCCCCCTTGCTACGCGACGTTCGTCGCGCGGATTTTTATTCACCTCTTTGATAACGCACGTCGGGATAATATAATACCACGATCACGTCTTTCTTAATTCCACTTGTGAGCTCTCGCGGCCCTCGCTATAAACTTCTTTACGTTTGACGGTCGATCGTAAATTTCGGCCCGTTCGTTCGGTCGCGGAGTCGTTCTCTTCCAGCCGACGAAGCGTCGACTCGCACTACTGTTTCTTCGCCCATAAACTGCAGGTAACAAAACGAGAAGGCCACGAAGGAAAACGATCCCGCGAAGGGAACGTGTCGTTGTCTTCTATATCGTTGCTATTATTCTTTCGAGAAATGCATAAACTCTACGTGCTCTTTATGCAAATGATATAGCAACGACAAATATAGAATATTATGATATATTCTCTACTCTCAATATGTATATTCTCAATATATTCTCTTTTCATACGCTTTCTTCTGCACGGGAACACGGGAAAAGTGGGAGCGATAAAAATCGCGAGCGATACAACGAACGCGAATCACCACAGCGGCGTTGTTCGAGGTTTTGCCCGTGCAATGCACATGTGCGGCTTGTGCATTATGCGGCCGATACACGCGTCGTCAACTTTTTGCCTCGCGACACGTTGCATCGATTAATCATAGCACGCATTGTGGAAACTCCTGTTTCAAAACGGGTGTGTCTTTCCACTTGACGAATGTTTATGCACTTTGTCAGCGTCTAATGACGTTAATTACCTTGATTAATTACCCGTCCTTAATTAAGACTTCTCCCCCCACCCCTTCCTCTTTCTCTCTCTCTCTCTCTCTCTCTTCCTGTGTGTATATGTAGTATAAATCGCGCAACGATACGCCGACGTGTCCGCGCGCGTCGCTTCCTTCCTGGACCGAATCCACGCGGCGAAGTCCATAGAAATTCAATCCTTGATACATTTCATTCGCATCACGGAACGGGAAAAACGCGGTATTCATTGTTACCGCCATTGTCGGCCGCGAAATGAAACTTTTGCCTTCTCATCGATCAGAAATCGCGCATTTCATGTATCTTCGCGGAGGTCGCGGAATAATATCATGGAAAATCCGTATGCCAATTTCATGTCATTACGGGGCGAGAGAGAGGGGGGGGGATAGAAAGAGAGAGAGAGAGAGAGAGAGAGAGAGGGAAGCCATAAAATTCGCGCTTTTTTATCCATCTCCGTTGCCAGATTCCGCTTTGAGCTGAACTCAACGCAGCTGATCGATCGTTACATCACAGTCGACAGTTTGTAAAACAAAATATGTTGCACGAGGTACCAATTGAATATCAAACTGTCCATTACAAAAAAACAGGAGGATTTATAGAGATATTGAAAAAAGGCTCCTGGATTGAAATTCATCCTGCTGTTTGTTATTCGTAATAAAAAAAAAATTAATTATCGTCTGTTCGTTATAGCGTATAATCATTTAACCGGTAAAAAAGGACTCTAAGGAGAGAAAGAAAAAGAGGAATAAGAAAAATACATATTGTGTATAAATCGCCGAGATAACTTTTCGTTGATATTAACAGCGATATTACAGAATCCTGTGACGCGACAAAAATTAATTCGCAATATCGCTCGTAATTTTGCTCGCATTTACTCAAGCTGACACCGGCGGACTGATGAGCGTTACGCTGTACCGTAAGTTTTTAGTCTCTGTCACGACACGCAATTACGTTACTCCAATGAGCAGACCGTGACAAAATACGTCCGTGTTACTCATGCGTAAAGAGTGTCGGCGGAAGCGGAAGCGCGCCGAGAAAAGACGTGACTACGTGGGGAAGCGCAGGGCCATACTACCGTAGCCTCGGTCGTACAAAGGTCCTTGTCATAAGATTTCACATGTATCGTCGTGACAGAAAATTACGAAAAAAGTCAATTCGAAAAAAATCACTCGGACGGAGAAATATCGGAATTACTCTGCATATTATTCTCCCTTAGTTTCACTAAGACGAGCTTTCGGCTACATTTTGTTCACCTATTTGACCGACATTGCTTTAACTCCGCTTACAAATCATGAAGACGCGAACAAATCTAGGACAAATGATTTCGCAAATTGATCTATTATATATATTTGACTTACAATTTTGTAATTATATATCGGATGTTTCATTTTAAGTGATATAGTCGATTATTTTGAAAATAAAGCATTTTTGGGAAAAACGTGCCATACAACCGTTCCGTATAATTTAATTTGGAGGTTGCCGGCGATGAAACGAAATTCACGAATGAATATATCCCACAAATACGCTTTCTAACAGCGTAAGCGTGATACCATCGCGCTTGCTTCGCGTCTGAATATTATTGCGAATGATTATCAGACTGATTCACTCGTTCGATTTCGCAACGCATTCTACGTAATCGCTCGAAAATTATGGAAGTTACAGTGTAAACAGTGAAATGGTCATACGCAATACGGCTGCAGCCCAAGTGCACTGTAACGAATTTTAATCGATTTAACAAACAATAGGAAAAACACGTCTGCGCACACTCACATCCCATTTTTTCATTCGACGTCGCGTCGGTGCGCGAACAATTGTTTTTAGGCAAAAAAAATGTTTACATCAGACCCGCTCGTATGCTTCTCGACTTTTTTTTCAGAACCCTACGCCTCGATTTATTCTCGTTTTACGCCACGGGGCGGAACGAAATACGCATAACGAATAACGAATTCAATTAACATGACGGTCTATGGGCGTATGAAGTTTATCTGTTCGCGTAACGACGCCGAAAATGTGTGCCCGTCCGCGAAACACTTTGACGTTCGCGACTGCATTGAGAGCACGATGGGACGATACATTCGCGTCGATTCGATGCAAGCGATCGCTTACAATCGGCAGTTATTGCTTATCTTTTCAGCGGGAATTCTCACGATTGTATATCCTCTATTTTCCGGTCGTTGCATTCGCCTTTGTCACGATTTTTCACAATCTTCTTACCGGCACGTTTGAAAATTTTAACTGCGTACTTTGAATGGTCAAAGGTTGCTGGCATTTTCTTATGGTATAAAGAAACTTTTAACGCACACAAAATCGATGAGTCGCACTGGAATTTCATTTATAATTAATTTTTTTTAATCATTTTAGATGATTTCTCATGTTAAATATCGATATAGCAATTGTTAAACTATTTCGTTGTCTTTGAGTTATGTGTCGAATAGTGAACTGTGAGTATTGGACACTTTAAACAGTTCTAAATTTCTGCATTGAGCATTAGTACGGCCGAATGGGTGAAGTTAAATCATATGCCAACTCATTTTGTGGATAAATATTTCCTCTGTGTTGTTTGCTCGCATCGGGAATTAGTTTGCGGATTAACATAGGGTGAAATAGATATGTGACAGTGTAAGCTATGCTCGTAGGCATATATGGTGTTTCAGATAATTATAGGTGAAACTTACAAATAAAAATTTAATGAGTTGATAATAAAACTTCGACAGTTCAAAGTGACAATTTCGCGAAATACAGTAGATTGATTTCTAGAAATGTTAAAATGTGCAGCAAATGCAAAGGGTTGATTGTCATTTTGTATTTGCGTTTGCGATCTGCGTCTTGCGTTCTGCGAACCATGTAGAACGGGCTTAACGCAGTCGCTGTGAAGACTTACTCCCACTGCTGTCAGCTGGCCGTTCGACCACGCGGTCGTTGACCCCGCCAATGTTTGCGCCAGCATTCGTTACACTGAAAAAAAAGTCTCGTAATAGTTAACACATGCATTTGATTGAGCGTTTTAGTGCAATATTGGTAATTAGTATCAAGTATAGTAATAGTTATCAACTATTTAGTAATAATCATATAATAATTAGTAAAACGAATTTTTGAAGAAATCGAATCAATTAAATCGTTTGCTAACTAATATTGCATAATTTTGTAATAATTATCAAATAGTTTGACAATTATTAAAGAATTTGGAAACTACTATTATTTACTATTATATTACTATTATATTATCTGATAATTCTTCATATTGTCCACATAATGCGGCAAATTACTAAACAATATAGTTTTATTTAACAAACAATTTTATGATACGTACCACATAAATTAGTAATAGTTTCCAAATTTTGGTATCAAATACTTTTTCAAGCTTTGCTAGAGTTATTTGTTGAGGTTTACCACATTATTTAGGTATATTGACCTTATATTAATTGAAACTATTTCACCAATGCATTTAACAATATGACCCAGGCTTGATGGATACTACTAAATTTTTTTTTAATATAGTAGCGAGCGTGTTGAAAATTTAAAGGATTGTGATGAAACATAAGATGAAAACCAAAATTATTTCATACATCCTATGTATCGATAACGTCGGTAATGTTATTTTCAAGAGAGAGCAAATCGTTAATATTAAAAGATAATAGTTCCGTGAGGAAATGAAAGTAAATAAATATTGAAGAAGAAGTAAGCATTGAAATAACAATGTATCAGTGTGGCTAAACAATAAAATTGTTTTTGACTCGGGCGCACCTAATAATTTGTAAAGTTTTGGTATTTATAATTATAATGTATTATACACTTGTAAGTAAATTGTAATCTCTTATTTTATTATATTTACATGAAATAATTGTTTCGTGTTTCCAGGATGAAAAGAACCAAATACTTACGACCAACGCGTGGCTGAAACTGGTGAGTGAAACAAACATTCTTCTTTACATCCTTCTCTCGATTAATTCTTTTAAAGAAAAGTTTCTCAAGTAAGTCTTTATATCAATGTTAAGTTTGTTGCAAAGTTTTAAAGATTTTCGAGACAAAAGAGAGACTTTCTTCGCGCGTACTAAATCTCCAGAGCTACATAATTCTACAAATTATAACGATGATAGTCAACCGGCGAATGCATATAAAGAAATGTTAGTCTTTTACGCGTTCGCAACGTAAAATCATTCGCTTAATTCTCACTGAGCATCCTTCGATAAAAATGTGTGTTCTGTGTGCTCACCATAGACAAAAATATTCGATAATGGGTGATATTCATTACCGACGTCTACCATTCGCACGAACGTGTGAGTGTGTGTTCTCCACTCTTAATGGATGCTAGGTATTAAATATAAGAATTAAAGTTAGCTTACAGCGCGAATTTCTCGATTTTTAACAAATACACATTTTCTCACACAAGTGAACAACGAATGTATACGATGCCACGCAAACGGACGCATGTTCTTTTATGCACCTTTATATCCGCGCCACGTTGCAGCGAATGACACGTTAAAAATGCGTTCGCGGTAATTCTCCCGGCAAAACAGCCGGTTAACAGAAAATCAATAACTGTACCGGTTACTTTTCCATCGCCTGCGGTCTTTCCATTTACGAGAATGCGTTTTAATATTGCTGATAAAAAAATACATCTGCCGTTGCGGCGAGTATCGCGAAGAGAAGCTAGAAGTCAAAGAGAAAGAGAGAGAGAGAGAGTGAACGAAAAAATGAAGGGGAAAATTCGGCCGTTGTGTCCGGCAATGTTCAATAATTACGTTTTAACGTGCAATTCGCGCGGAGCACGAGAAATTAGAAAAAGCTTTGTTTTCCCAACGAAATTTTGGACGGGGATCTCCCGCGGTATTAATCGACTCGCTCCGCGCTGCACGTTCGTGCGAAATTATTTTATTTCGCGCCGCTTTTTGCATTTACGGCGCGGCACACATTTCAAAGGAATCTCGTTATTTTAGTCTCGCATCGTCCGGCGAATTCATGTACTTCCCTCGTACGACCGCTCTCCAAAATAGCAACCACCAGATATTACTTCCAACCAGTAGCGCTAATGCTCAACTTTCAATTAACACGCCGAACTTTATTTAGCGACGTGAAGCAAACCGAACGCAGATGTAACGGTTAATATTGTATTTATAGCAGCCACAGAGCAGCGTTTCGCGAGTCGAGACTTCGCCGCGTTCATCGCGAGGTCGCGAGGCCGGCGAAAATAGAACGAAATCCGCCGGTATTTGACCTGCCCGCACTCGGGTCGCACCAAAGCGGCTCGTGCGTGACAGAACCGTTTACGGATGTTCCCCCGCTATATTACCAGTCAGATCGCGTGGGCGAGCAATCAGTAGATCAGAAACGCGAGAGTGCGGGGACAACGGCGGCGGCTGCTGCTGCTATTGTCGTTTCATCGTCGACGTCGTCGTCTTCCTATGCACAACGGAGGGTAGGAAGGGTGGGCGAGCAGCATCCGCGTCAGACAAGCGCTCCTTCTTCACCCTCGTGAGAAGATGCTCTCCCCGTGTTTCCCTCGGGTGTGAAAAAGGTATGGCGCGAGAGTGAGAACGTGAGAGAGAGAGAAGATGGGTGAAGAAGGAGAAGGGGGAGGAGGTGGTAGGTAGGTAGGTTGGCGGATAGGCAGGTAGGTAGATAGGTAGGTAGGTAGGTTAGCACGACAGAGGAGTGTTCGAGAAAATCGAGAAAGCAGAACGATGCACTCCGAGCCCGCCAGCCGGCCGTCGCTATTTCTTCCGCCGCTCCTCTTCTTCCTTCTTCTCCTTTTCGTAATCCCCCGCTCTTCCCGACGGCGACGGGGCGAAAGGAATGTCCGGATGGTTCGTCTTTGTCTTGATGTGTCATCGATCGCCGTGGGAACCGCGAATGCGCGAGTTCCTCACGTTCGTCGCTCGGGCTCTTTGAGAAGTCAACATTTCATGAATTCGTCGTCCGTGGTTGTTTCCACGTTAGCACACGAATCTCGCTTTTCAGACATCCCGTCGATCGTTATCCTTTTCCGCGTGTGCGCTACCGTTCGCCATTGCTGATATATTAAAACCCGCGAGTAAATTATCTTTTATGCGGCGCACGGTGATTAATTATTTGCCATGTTTGCGCTCAACGTTTGCGCGACAACGAGATATTGCATAATTCGGCCGAGCTTTTTCGCTGCGAGACTTTCACAGTCGAGTTCATGGTCTCTGAAAAAGCCGGTACATATCCCGGTCGTAATTAACTTGAGATTTCGAGGTATCGTCTCTCTCTCTCTCTCTCTCTCTATATACTCTACTTTCTTTCTCTCTGTCACCGCCGCCGCTCCGATTCTTATTTCGTTCGTACATCATGTAGTGTCGATATCATTCTTTGCGTTTACGGCCACTTTATTTTATCTTTGAGAAATTGATTTTTCATCGTTGAAGAGCAACGTTTCTCCCTCTCTCTCTCTTTCCATCTCTCTCGTTCCTCACTTGTTTTCACCTCGACGCATCTACCTTCGTTCTCTGCTCCTTTTACTTTTCTTTTCGTTTTATTGTTCGTGCCCTTTCTTCCTTATTTTCCCGTCTATTCACAACCTCTGATTGTATCCACCCTCACTACGACGTTCCCCTTTCTGTTCGACTCACTCTGCCAGTCGCTGCGCTGCAAAAAGCCACGGACAGCTGTAAAATTCTCCTCTGTAATATCGAGAGCCGAGCCAAAGAAGAGAACGGGTCCGTAAAGGACCCTTCGTCATCGATTCATTAGCGCGGTAATCTCGCTCTCGTGGAATTTCGAGCCAAATTTCAGACCCGGGCATTTACAGGCAGACGTATTCCCGTACGACGTATTTTCAAATACATATGTGACATCAACCCCAACCAGACTTTTAATTGTACAAAATACGCGAATTTGCGCGAAATATTCATAGAAAGAGGAAAAATAGCTAGTACGGGTGTTAAAAGTAGCATTGTTAAAGTTTAAATCGGAACATAAATAATCGTTATTCTCGTGTCATCAGTTAAGATGGAGCGCCAGTTACCGTGCAAACTGCCTTTAAGATAGTCAATTAAAACTTTCAAGTTCACTAAGCTAAATGGAATTTTAGAGCAGTACTTGGCAGCGGCCTCGCATGCATTATAACGACGCGTTTAACGTATTTAAAGACTCGCGCAATGACAGACGTTATCTCGCTATTACTGCTGATGAACGTGAATGTATACATATATATANTATATATATATATATATATATATATATATATATATATATATATATATATATATATATATACTACGGCGACATCCCTTATTTATTCCTGGAAATGACTGAGACGCGTGATTTCTGCTTTCGAACGATCATCCACATCGTCGTCACCGCCACGGTGTCAAATGTGCGCGCAAGTGCGGGCTCGCGGATCAGCGAAAAAACACGACGGCCCTGTAAGTAGGACTCTTATAAAATTTGTTATTTATCAAGCCGGCTCTTTCGGTCCGTTGAATAATTCACTGACAGATAGCCGATACGCAGCTGCGGTTTCCAGGGTGGGTTAATAATATAATGCACTTTGCTCATACGAATTCATATCGGCGCCGCGGCGTACAGATCGAGGTAATATTAATCGACGTTCCGAATCCACGCGACAGGCGAATATATCGACCGAGCGGATGCGCCTTTTAATATGCCGCATTCGCCGTTTAATAAGGCTCTAATATCGGTTTGCACGTCATTATGCTAGACTGATTTGATTTCAGGCTCAATTAGAAGCCGCTTAATATTTCATCTTGAGGATCGCGAATGTCTCTTGCGGACAGCCGAATTTTCCCTCAGGACAAAAGCAATTTCAACTGCCTGCTCTCTCTCTCTCTCTCTCCCCCCCCCCCNCCCCCCCCCCCTCTCTCTCTCTCTCTCAATAATAGAACTGAACTTTTGTCGCTTTATTTTATACCATTCGAGAAAGATACCGTGGTATTTCATTCACGGACTTTTGGGCTGATTTAAATGATCGATTTTTCTGTTAGATAAAATCTAGATATTATTAACGCATTGTTCCGCTGTTCTTCTCTCTTAACCTCTAATTTTTAATTCCGACTATCTCTCCAATCGGGCGTGAAAGCAGGTAAAAATTAAATTGACACATCATTTATTTATCCGCGTTTCTCCGGAGCTCGATATTCGCGGTGGTTCACACGACAAAGGGTGTTGACGCCTCCCGAGCACGTAACACGTCCACCATTTTTCCCGGTACACCTCCGTAGTGTCCGTAGTTGAGAGAATTGGCGATAATTCTGAAATACCTTCATTCAAAATGTGCCTCCGCGTTACCCACGATGCGGACGAATAGCTGGGCGAGAGAGAAGCACGAGAGAGGGATGCCTCGTACTCTCTCTTTCTCCTTCTCTCCCTCCCTCCCTCTCTCACGGAAAGGCGGCTGTAGTATTACACGTCGAGATTCCGTAGCGGCGAGCTCGATTGCCGGGTATAACATAGTTGCGACACGGCGACAAAGTGTCCAAATAATTACACGTGCGCGCATCCTTGACTCGCCGGGAACGAGATCAGCGACGATATCAGTCCCCTTTTGCGTGTGCGAGCACAAAGAGCCGAGGGTGGGACGAAAGAGGGAGAAACGGAAGGGAGCAAGGGTGGATGGAGGAGCGCGCACCCCACGTAACATCATCACATACGTACATGTCGCTCGCGTGTTGGCACGATGTGTAGCGGCGCTAAAATGTACGGAGCCGAGAAACGTTGTCGTGACACTCACGTTTCAGCGCTAGGAACGTCGCCGCTACATCGTGTCTCTCGTTTTGCCCCGGCATTTTAGATCAACCGCTTCGTCGCGAGCAACCGAGTAGAAGTGGCGTGTGTAGAAGCAGCTAGCTAGTTATCGTCTCTTCGTGGCGAGGAATAGCGGGATTGATACGGTCCGTGCTGAATACCTTACGACGACGTTATAC